AAAATTCATAATTTCATACAATTTCTATTTAAACTAATCGACATTTCTAAAAGTGAGATGTGCAACATTTGCACTTTGCAGTTATTCATGCTCTCAGAGAAACAAAACTTTTAATCAGCTCCTAACAATTTTCACGCAGTAATCCATAATATAAGACAGATATTCGAGAATTACCCGGTTCCTCGACGAGTTCGTAACTCTCGAAAGAGAATTATTTACTATCTCTAGAGTACCTTGAAACACGCTAATAACCAGTTCCGTGACTACGAATTTTGATTGGCCTCTTATTTGCATTTCACCTCCTAAATAATGTTCCACTTCGCAAAATTGAGTTGGAAGCGTGTTCGACTATTGTTCGATAAAATACGAAACATACCAACTCTAGCTGCGAACTCGTTGACTTTTATTTTATTCGAGAATAGAGTAAACAATTGTTCTCCCCTGTCGCGGCTTATGTGAATAGGAATAGCGTAACGGACAAATATTCATTTTTGTTATTCTTTGAAGCGGTTTCAAAACACGCTCGTTTTCTTTATAAATGTCACGCGCATCGACACAAAATTTTATGCTACGAATCCCCCAGTAATCCGTATTACCTAAATCTTTTCGGTCAATCTTATCCCATCAATACGCCAAACATTCTTCCACGATATTATGGATAACTCTTATCACAAAGGTAATTAAACCTTATCTCGTTCATAACTGAAATATCGCGCGCGAGGTTCATTATCCACAAAAATTGCAGTATGGTATTACAGATCTGTAAGATAAGGCGAGAACTAAGAGACCCGTATCCTTTACATTTTGCACGCTCGTGTTCGACCTCATTTTTAAAAGATGCGGAATGCAATATTTCTTCTGCGCGAGGGAAATCGAGCGGCGTTGGTAGACGCCAGTGACCTATTTAGGAAACAAAAGATCTTGAAAAATGTGCGTCTCCCTCAATGATCTTTCGTATCGGCACCTACCCTCGCCTTTAAATAAATTAACCAGGCCGTGAATCTTCTTTTTTCTGATAAAATTCTCTTAATACCCTATAGAATTACGCAGAAATACCTCTTAACGATTATAAAGGAGCTACTAATCCCCCTGCCGCTTAATTAGTTCCGCTAACCGAACCCACGAAACTGGACGTCAAAGACGTCTCTCGTGCATGGCGCTATTGCTCAAAGTTAAATAATGATTCAATAACTTCCATAAACGTGTTCGTAATTTAATCGATAAATTAACACACAATAACAACGTTAGATTTACGAGCAACAAGAAATTCGATGTTGCACGTGCTCGACTAGAGTATGAAAATTGCGAAACATGTATAACAGCAAGGGGACGTTACAAAGAAGGATGAGGGTCATAGAACAAAGTGATATTCAGCGAGTAAAATGAGGAGACGTCGGGAGATGCGATTTCGTGATGGGCTGTGAAAAGTTTCATATTAAAAGTAGCCGCTGTTTCGCCGGAGGTACTTGAATTTAATCGTACACAAAACCAGAAATCGTGGAAACAATAAGGCTGGAATTGAAACTTCAGAATTATTAATGGTAACAATCATAATTCTCATTGTCCCGAAGGTTTAGAAGCTTGTTCCAAGTTTTAAAAGTAGATCAAGATATAAGATATTGTCTTGGCTGAAACGAGTCGAAATCTATTATTACTAGACAGTTTTATGCGAATAAAGCATTTATGTTATCTATTTAAAAAATGTGACCAGGGTAGAAATAGAAATGTATATATATAATTTTTATATACATATATTTTTTATATATATATATATTATTTTGATATGTTATATGCATTCTTTACATCTTGCATGAATGCATAATATCCTGAGTCTAATTATTAGTACACTATTTTCTTTTCAATTTCCCTCGTCATTTTTTTTCCACGTTCATCACTCATTTCTAATTATTTTACGCTGGCGGGTTCCTAGTTTGGTTTTTTCTTTTTTTCGGAACAATCTCTTATCCATCATTCAGTCGCATGCGCGTGTTCTCGCATCACCCTCTGGTCACGTAATCATCACATAATTCATGCACAGAAAGGGTTAACGTAATACACAAGAGAAATGAACCAACTTTCCGGTTGGTGCTCTTCACAAGAACGCAGGTGTATTCATTGTACCGTACAAGGTTGCAATTACAAGCTCGATGTACAAACCAGTCGAGCATATTCACTCTAATATAAAAGCATATGCCAGATCAACGAAATTAATAATATTTCATCTGAAACTGACTTCCAGAACATTGTCATATTAAAATTCTTATTCTTGACAAGACAATTTTTCTCTAAGAATAAACAATAAAATATGCAGAAACAGGTTTGCTACAAAAATATGAGTAAGCTTTAATTGGAAAAATTAAAGGAGTAGCTGGAAATATTGAGCTCTTGATAATAATTATGACAGCGCTCGCAGTAGTGTAGTCCATTATTGATCAGACGGTGCCAAAGCGATGTTACAAGATTGCTTAATTCAATTTGAATGTTTCATGGAAATTGTTTTAAATTAAGCTGGGTTCAAAACGAGCACAGTGTAGGTTATTACATTCCTTCTTCTACAATAGAATAACTGAACCATGAGAGCGTCGACACCGCATGTCACCTTCGATTCATCCATTCAATTGTCTCGCCAACTTCTTACAAGTCTCTTTCTGTTCCAAAAATATTACATATTCCTTTCATGAATGTTATAACATAATCATTATTTCAAGAAGCTCTGGATTGAAATTGCAGTAGAATTTACAATTGGCAATGATCAGTGATCACTGATCATTTATGTAGATTTTATTACATTTAACGGGACAGTTACAGTTTAGAAGGGACATAAATGTTTCAAAATGAGGGGCGAACGACCGTTTGTTCGTTCGATCAAATGCAACGTGGTACTCATAGTCCTCTTCATGTTCGTACAATACTACAAATAGTCTGTTTGAAACATAAAATGTTATTGTGTCCCGGTGGTAGAGATTATTACTGTTTAGATGACGTAGTAATGCACCGTCCGACAAGAGATACGAGATTGCCGATGGAATTATTAGGTTGCCAGATCAGCCATGACCATTGATGTTTTCGTATGATGATACACATCGCATAGTTCGTAGTTCCCGATGCACATGCACTGTGAATACTAATCTTAATCGCACAGAGGCAAATATTGACATATGCCATTTCGTTCCAATGCGCAGAATTTCGCATTCAATCATTTCCAGAAATGAATTACAGTATAAATTATATTTCATGTCTCCAATGAATTATTATTGCATTTCGTGGTGAAACAAAATCGCAGTAATTCGAGGGACTATATAGTTATTGTTCAAAATTCTCAGACCTGATGCATCGTGTTACGGCTAGAATTTAGCCCGAAAACAAGAAGCTGCGTACCGAAAGCTTGACCCTATTGATTAATGAAACGTAACGACAAATCTGAAGTTTAATGTTACAGCAAACGCAAGAAATTGCTAAACGTGTCTAGGTATCATCCTGACCTGATCCAAAGTTCTTATCGTTGTGAAACGTTGCTATTCCGATCATAGCTTCCTTCGACTTTATATATTGATCGAGAAAATTACGGCAAAC